AAATGTACAACGTTTCGACAAGGTTTGGTCATCATCAGGTACCTGATGATGACAAAACCTTGTCGAAACGTTGTACATTTGCTGTCATGTTAAACTTATATTAAAGTTTTTCTTCATTACCCATTTAAGCCGTCTCCAGCCATTATTAAACAAGGACTCCGTAATGTTGGCAGCCCCTTCTGGCTTGAAGGACAGGAGTTCAGTGTTATGATTTACTTTCTGACTTGTTTGCTTTCAACGCTTTATGTTAAGCTCGTCGTAAAAGACTTAAATAGATACAGATGTTCATGGTGGCCTCATTTTACTAATATGTTTTTACACAGCAGTAACCGAATGCCTGGTTCAACAGTATGGGGGTTTTATTTTTTTTTCCAATGGTTTTTAAACAAACCCCTTATAGAAATGGTTAAATTGTCATTGTAGTGTACATTACATTAGAAAAACAGTATTTAAGTAAAGAAATCTATCGTATAACGTTAAGTGTTTCGTAAACACAACATATCTTTTATGAGTAATTCCTGCACACTTGATACCTGTTGTTGTGAGTAATTACAGCACAGTTAACAGAGGTTATTGTTAGTAATCCCTACACAATTAACTCAGGTTATTGTTAGTAATCCCTACACAGTTAACTCAGGTTATGGCGAATAATTCCTGTATTCTTCGTTTTTCCAGGTCCAGCTCAGGAGAACCTTCTTATTCTGAACCGGTACACATGCCTATGTATACCCATAGTGGTTACGGTGGGGGTGGATATGGTTGGGGTGGATTTGGAGGTGGTTTTCATTAGTAACATGGCGATAAAGATATAACCTTGGACTAAATATGCACGATCTTTGGTGACAACGACCTTATGCCTAGCGTTACAGTGTAAGTAAACATCCAGCACGTACGTGTACTATACGTCAATGTAACTCTTTCTGTGTGTTTTCAGAGATGCTTTATAAAGCATGTTTAATGAACAGTTCGTGAATGTGGTAATATAACTTGAACATAGAAACATTGTTGATGTGTGTAATAAAATTAGGAGAAGCCTAATAACTTTTCACATATTTGAATTATGTTGTTTTTCAGTCAATTTTCACAAACTATTCATTTGTATGTACACACACATATCCTGAGGCCGATAATTTCATTTTTTTCTGATTTCTGTCGAACACATTCTTAAAGGACTACTATCAACACTGACCTTACTAATGTGAGTCAGACAGATTTTTAAAGGACTACTATCAACACTGACCTTACTAATATCGGACTAATGTGAGACAGTGATCTCGCTAACAGTGTGGTAAAGTAAGTATTGAAATAAGCCTATCGTAACAACAGTACCGTACTAACAATAGTAGTATTGTAACAACAGTACCGTACTAACAATAGTAGTATTGTAACAACAGTACCGTACTAACAATAGTAGTATTGTAACAACAGTACCGTACTAACAATAGTAGTATTGTAACAACAGTACCGTACTAACAATAGTAGTATTGTAACAACAGTACCGTACTAACAATAGTAGTATTCGTAACAACAGTACCGTACTAACAATAGTAGTATTGTAACAACAGTACCGTACTAACAATAGTAGTATTGTAACAACACTACCGTACTAACAATAGTATTTTATTAGTGTAGTATAGTATTAGTGTTCGGTTCATGTTTAGTTTTAGCTGCTTTCTCATTACTCTTCTTATTTAAACGTGACTTTGAAATACAATGATAATTATTATTAGTATTCAGTTTGACGACGATTTTTAATTGCAACTTTGTGTATTTTATGTTTACCTTTTATCAAGATCTCTCTTTGCTTATCAGAAGTCACGTGCAAGAAATAAATGTGCGAGTTTATGTGTTAATGTAATATGTTTGTGTTAAAAGTACTCCGCTGGGGGTAATTTTTTTGTTATTTCCAGTTTCATGTGTTGGTCAGTAATAAAATGACGGTTTGTTTTCTGTACCGATTCTCTGCATATTTCTTGTGTCAAAGTAATTATATTAAAACATGAATTTCATATTTATATAAATAAACAACATTTAGTTAAAAACTAAATGTTTCGACGTAGTCAGGAGTGGTAATAAGTCATCAGTATGTTATATACACAGACAGACAGACATCTTTGTATATGTGTGTACGTGTGTATATATATACTGTTCAGTTTTAAGAAACCTTTCCTCATGGTAATCATTGACGTAGTCAGGAGTGGGAATAAGTGATCAGTATGTTATATAAACAGACATCTTTGTGTGTACGTGTGTGTGTATATATATAAAGTAAAAGTCCAATCATATATAACTGTTCAGTTTTAAGAAACCTTTCCTCATGTTAATCATTGATAAATTATTATTTGTTTGACTGATCACTGACCACATACTTCAATGTATGACCTCTTACAACAGTTTAAAAATAATAAAAAAAACCCAATCATGCTTGGTACACCACGAGTCAGACACAACAATCTCTACAATATTAACATGATGAAATTTCTAGTGCCTTCTTTAACCGGTTAAAGTGTAAAGTGGTGCCTTCTTTAACCGGTTAAAGCGTGAAGTGGTGCCTTCTTTAACCGGTTAAAGCGTGAAGTGGTGCCTTCTTTAACCGGTTAAAGCGTGAAGTGGTGCCTTCTTTAACCGGTTAAAGCGTGAAGTG